AAATAACTTATATGTAAGTAATTCCTAGTTATTTATTCCTTATTTCATTATACAAGAAGTGATGGTAAAGGACGCCTACTTATAACTCGAAAGTTGCCGAATCCAGTGGTTTGTCAGTACAGTGGTTTTATTTATACACCCAGGCCAGCCTGCAAGAAAGTTCTACAAATGACTGAATTGTACTTACATTTAAAGAATCATGTCACTCAATATAGTGCATCTTTATATTATCACCAACGTATAATCTGATTTCATCTAATGGCACTAACTAGAATGCCTTTCTTAAAATCAAAAACATTCACATTAGAAACATAATGTATCCTGAACATCCTTCCAAATATCCTTTAAACCTGCGCATGGCCTATGCTGAGTGTCAAAGCTCTGGAGATTATACCAGTAGCTTAATTGTTAGTTGTTAAAAAACATTAAATTCTTAGCATTGTAATTTTGCATTGTCATTTGCCTCACAAAGAAAACATTTTTTTTTTCATTAAAGAAGCCTTCGTACATTACTAGTCCTGAAATAGCGAGCCACATATGGCTTATTCACTCAACACAATTGTATTGTAGGCTATGAGTAAATTATTATGTTAAATGATTAATGGAGATTGAGGGTGGGATTCTGTTTATGAAATCTATTAACAGCCATGTACCCATGTCCTCATAAATGCAAAACCACTGATTCACTGACAAGCGTTTCAAAACATATTCCTTCATCGGTTAAAAAGGCAATTTGATAGATTTGTTTTGGCTGTTTATAATTAAGCTACAGGCAAAACCATATATAATTCCTGTTTACGTTTGCCTCCACTAATTATCTAATTTTGGTAAATTTTTCTCATGACTTTTCCAGTGAAACGTACATAAAAACCGAAGGCAGATGAGAACAACTACGTTCTGTTATTGGACGTGCTGTGGTTACCACACATGCATACTTCGAGAGCTTATTAGGGCTTGAAAACTAAATAAAATATGGCTCTTAATTATTAAGCAATGATTTCAAATTTCAGAGAAGAGTTTAAAACATTTCTGACTGAAATGTTGTTTACCGCCTCAGTTATTTGGAGTGTTTAAAAGAAAGCACTATTTTATTATTTGTATAACTTATTTACACTTAAAGAGGCATTTAAAGAGTTACTAAAGAGGCACAAGAAAACCATATCACAAAACACAAATAGGTATCCAAAACCTATGTGCTACACACATGGAACAAACACAGCACTAACCTCCACAATAACCAACACAGGAACAAGGTAAGGGCAGGCACATATATACACCAAGACAAGGTCATCAACAAGGGATAGATGTAGATCCTTAATACTTAACTCAAATACTAGGAATCCGGAGCTACACAGAACATGTGAGGATCATAAACAAGCACTAAGGACTAAAATATTAGGGATTACTAGGAATATAGTTGAAACAGAACATACCTATAAAACTAGACAGACTGGACTAACCAAAAACAAAGATATACAAGCAAAGACCAACACTGAAATACATGAACACAGGAAGATAATTAACATGGGGTAAACAAAAACAAATATCAACATTGATGCACAGATCTTGGCCACACACACACACAGTCCATTCAGCCATGCAGCGACCAGGGAACCAGGTGAACAAACATGTTTGGGATAGTGACGCAGCTAAACAGAGGAATGAACAGAATGGCCAGCGACCCCTGCTGGCCAAATGGGGAAACAATGGACAGGACAGGGCAGGGACTGATCCTGACATTGTGGGTATCATACATTGCATTCTGAAATGTTTTAAGTGAATGCCAAATATAGACGCCATGTGAAAATACAAACATAAACACAGATATATTTTCTGTTTTATTTCAGTCACCAAGCTTCCTGAAGCAGGAATCTGAAGATGAAAAGGACAAATAAACATGTTTACCCATCTTCCTTGAATGCCAGTGATTGTATGCAGATGAGAACACGCATGTGGACTTAAACATGTCTGATTGTTTTACACTCCATTGTTCAGGTGAAACACCTAATGCAGGGGTGTCCAATCTTATCTGCAAAGGGCTGGTGTGTATACGGGTTTTCGCTGCTACTCCCTAATTAGATTACTAATTAGAGGACTGATTGGCTGAAGAGTCCTCACACCTGGGTTTGAACAGCTGACCTACAAGTTATCCCAAAAACCTGCACACACACCGGCCCTTTGCGGATAAGATTGGACACCCCTGACCTAATGCGTGATGATGTAGAGCATTTTTTAGCCCTGAATAATCAGTTTAGTTTTCAAATGATTAAACTATTTAGTGTTTTTTCTGTCCAGGCATGAGTCTTAGCCTTCATTGGTAGCAAAAATTTCCTGGTTTTGTGTATCATTTTTTGTTATGTCACAGAATTAATTGGAATTTTGGCTTTTCGCACCTTCCGAGGTGTATTCAGACATCTTTCATGTCATAAATAATGACAGATTCATTTAAAGCGTTTGAATAATCACTGAAATTATATTTTAAAAGGCTAATGTGATTCTCAGAATAATTTGGGAATTGGAACATCACAAATTCCTTTTGGAATTTTTTGGATGAGTGGCTTGTGAGACACTTTATCCATTTGCTTTCCTTCTCTTCGCACTACTTGTTTTGAAAACAGACTTTTGCCTTGTTTACTCAGCTTGTTGTCACTTCGGTGTATTTTTGCTGTGTGCCTTTCATATGTGGTCAATCCCCCTCACAGTCTAGAGTGAGGGAACTAAAGGTTTTGAATGTCTTCTTAGCTTCCATCACGTCTCTGTTGATGAAGTGCCACATTTCAGGTGCTGTCCATCCACCCACACCATTCAGTGCCAACCCCCCCAGCCATTCTCTCTACCACTTTGGCTACGCTTTGGTCAGCATGGGCACATTATGTGGACAAATGCCAGCTGCATTACAGGTTTTTGGCTAACTGCACAGCCACCCAGAATACAAAACCTACTAAGGTATGTTTATGTTGTGTTTAAATATTAATGTTGATGTGATATAATTAGCGGGAATCTTTTCCAGAGTGTATTGTTATCCTAGACTCCTACACAACCTCAACCAGCACACACATTTGGAAGGTCGCCACTCTGCCTAAACCTGTTTTCAGACTATAGTACCCTGAGGAAACATGAAGAGAACCAGCAAAGTGCTCACTTTGAGGGAGATTGGTTCAAACCCCCAACTCTGGACACGAGAAGAAGCAGTATTACCTCCCGAGGCACCATTCTGCCTTTTAAACCTCATATATACATGTGCATTTGAAATCAGTATATTCCTCATATATACTTCTTGTCACATGATCTGCCAGTATCTGATTCTGTTCCTCAGTGAGAGCTCCATTACCACATTTTTATCCATCCACGGGGATCCAGTGCAACCAGTCAAAATAATGGGCTTTAATGTTTAATTAGACAAGCCAAATTAGATATTTGGAAATACGCCGGTTTTAAATAATTTAAGTGTATACGATCATTTAGATTCTTTTATCCAGTGGTTTGTGGGTTCCTGTTTTATAGAAATTACAGGGGTGAAAGCAGCAGTCATTATTTAAAAATGCAGTTACATTTCCATCTATCCATCTTCTAACCATTAATCCTGGTTAGGGTCTTGGGGGGCATGAAGTCTGTCTTGGACAGCATGGGATATAAGGCCCCCCCTGGACAGGATGCTAGTCCACAGGCCACACACATACATACACTCACACATGCAAACATACACCATGAGTAATTTACACTGTCAGAAAAAAGGGTACAGTTCTGGTACAGTACAGTTTTGTTCCCAAAGGTACAAAGAACATTAATGCACCCTCAATGATAGAAAAATGCTCCCCAGAGTCCATTTCTGTACCTTAAATTAGACTAAAAGGTACATTTACCTACAGCTAGAGGTCAATTAGCAGACTATTGATGGTACAGCCCCAGTGACAAGTAATTTTACACTCAAATGTGCAAATTGGTACTTTTTTTCTGATAGTGTAGAGATGACAATTAACCTAAGTGCACGTCTTTGGACTGTGAGAGCAGCAACCAGCTGAAATGGTGTAATACAGTGTTCCTTTAGTGCAATGTAAGTGTAAACTTTGCATACAGTACAAGTATGAATTTTCCACTGTACCTGACAGGAAAAAATAGCCATTGGATTCAACAAAAAAATAAATAATCATGTTGGCACCAGCATCTGATTACATATCTAAGTGTGTCCTGGCATATATGATAAATATAGATTATTAGTTTGGTGGTTGATTGAGAGTCATATCGCTAATTAGGATACATTAAATACTACTAATCTAAATTTGTGTTTGAGGAATATATATTCATATGAATATCAGATTACATATGTCTTTGTCCTAAGATATATCTTTATAAAATATAAAAATAAATTACTTAAGTAATGTTTATATTATTAAAAATACATTTAAAAGAAAAATCAATAGAATTATTCTGACTTGTTTTGCATCACACTTCACCAACAGCTCAATTATAAACAGTAAAATTTAAAAGTCGGGCTCTATATAGTAGGATGATTGAGCCACTGTTTGATAGCAACTTGCTTTCTTAATTTATAATTTTCAAAACAAATTAGAAATTCAAATGATATATTATTGGAAATATACTCTTTAAGAGTTAACTCTGAATGGAGGCAAGATACACAATTCGCAAACCATTTTTGGATGAGTATTTCCTGTTAATCTCACTTGATTAGCATCTTCCGTCTAGTTTTATCCGTATGAAGGTTATGTTTATTTTAGTGGCAGGTAACATAATGCAAAATTAATGAAGACATTCATATCACAATGAACAAAATATATCCTGGTAATAAATATTTCAGCCTCCTGTCATTTTTCATGCTGCCAGAACATTTTTCTTACATTTTAAGGAGCACAGTTTACAGCACAGAAGTGTATTATTGTTAACAATCAAATTACACACACACACACACACATATATATATATATATATATATATATAAAGGACATGATTTTCAGACCTTTTCAACAATACAAGGAGGGAGTTAATTTTTTTTATTTTTGTGAAATGCTTTTCACTGTTTTTTTCTATTTAATTCTTCAGGAAAGTCTTTAATGGACATTTAAATCACAATCAATACATTTTAATTGTTACATTTTCACATACTTTTATTTAACTAATAATCAGCACTGTACTTGAGGTACCCTATATAAAATGGTCACAGATTAATAAAGAAGTGCAGATTAATATAACTGTTCAAAGTACATACAAATGGATCAGTTTAAACATTTCTTCTATCATTTTTAATTTAAAGAACACTACATCTGGACAAGGAAAAGAGGAAATTACAGTTAAGTGTGCTATTTTTAGTTTAACATGTAATGACTCAGTTTTCACATACACATCATGGTGAGGTTATAACATGTCTAAAGAATATCTTTATGTATGTCTATGTTGAGGGTTAGGTATCTTTTTTGGAGGCTGTTAAGATCCTTTCATTTGCAGCCTTTTCTTTTTCATTTTTACACCTGATCCCAAGGAGACTACAGAGCTTTGTGAATATAAGGTCTACAATCTCTTCTTCTTCGGAAGGCTGCAGGAGGAAAAGCGGATGCTTGACAGAATTCATTTTGTAAAGTCTATATCAAGATCATTATTAAAATGATATATTCATTACAATATTGCAAAAACAACAGTTACACCAACACAACTATTATTAAGACAAAGTACTTCTACCTTGTGGTGCAGTTGCTCTTGGCTGAATGCAACTAGGATGACTGAGATGAAGAGATTGAGGACCACAAAGGTCATGAATATGACGCAGGAGCCAATGATGAATGCACCAAGCACTGGGTTGTACTCCAGAATCTGTGAGAAGTTTCCAGTGATCACATGACTGACTTTTCACAGTCACTGCATCTGCTATAGGCAGACTCCAGCACATCGCAACTCACCTCTTCATAGTTGAAGATGCCCAACTGCAAGCTGACTATGGTCTGGAAAGCCTCCAAAAGAGTTCTGTAGGAGTAGAGCTTCCAACCATATATTAGATTGCACTGTAGTAGGAGACAAAATGTTGTGTCAAGTTCACACACTTACGTTTCTCCAATTTATGTGCTCCATGACATACGAATTAGGCAATTCACAAAAAAAAAACAATTCACTTAATATCTTTACAGAATGAACAGAAGTACATAATGAAGAAAGTGCTTGATTTTGAATGACACTGAACACTGACATGAAATGACATGAAAACTGATGTAAACAAGGAAGTGGCATGGTCAGCAGCACAAGGGCACCGGGAGCTCTCACAGTCATAGAGTAGGTCAGGAGCATAATGGTCAAAACGATGATGAAGCCTGAGATGTCATTCCAGGCCCTCTTCAGTGTGGAGGTGATCATGTGCAGCTTGGGGTTAAGTCTCAGCAGGTGCCACAGCTTAATGGTGGCCAGCAGCACTAGGAATGCAATCAGGTAGCCCAGCACGGAGTCCGCTGCGGCCGTCTGGTAGAAACTGGGAAACCTGGCCAAGGGTAGCGAATGTTAGCGCAGCCAGTACACCCACAGAATCCTCTTATTTAAAGTGCCAGTCAAAGAAATCAGGCAGAAATGCTGACTACCTGAAGACCTGAACTGACTTTACCGATTTCATATTTGATTTGTAACATAAAACAGACCAAATAATGACATCACAATACAATCCCTTGCTGCTGTTTGTTTTTGTTATAGAGAGATTTCATGCGCATTTCATAGCTGTTTAAGTATATGACTGGAGCTCACTCATTAGCTCATTAAAGCTCATTAACTTAAAATACATGTACTTTTGGAGATATTATCACTGATTTGAATACTTTGAGTAAAGCACTGGATTTGGAAAAGCATTAGTAAACACTGAAATACTGAAATGCTAATCAGTACCAGCTCTCTAAGGGTGTGGTTGAGGATTATATAGAATGCAGGTTAACTGTCTACTTTCACCAGTAGGGCAACTCAGGGTGACAGGAATACAATGCAGTCTGAAGTTGTTGCCATGGGCTGGTCCACTCACTGGTCCGGGTGGGTGCGGTAGAACTCCATGTCTCTGTTCCCCAGCAATGTCCTTTTAATGAAGACAGAGAGTGCACTCCAGCTCAGGATGATAATGGCTAGTTCCAGAAGGTTCCACTTGTTGCTGAAGTATGTCCACTTCAGCTGCTTCATTAGCTTACCCTGCAAGGGCCAAGAAACTCTTCCTTTAGTCATTTGTATTTTTATATGGAGGCACTGTTCATATGCATTCGTCTGTGTAGAGAACTTTCTTCACAATTGTAATCAAGAACCAACCAACCTGAACAAACATGTAGTAGAGAATGAAGAGGAAGTATATAACCTCAGAAGCCATGACAAAGATCTCTAGGCCACCAGTTGACTGATACAGCCGGACCGTCTGCAGATCAGTGAGATACTGGAAGGCTCCTGGAAAGTCCAAGTAGTTCTGCTTACCCTTATTCTAAAAATAATGATTACATTCCAAGGTGCCAAAGATTGAAAAGAACAATCTCCTTACCATTAGCTGAGGTCTCAAATATTAGAGTGACAATGCAGAAGAGGTTAATGTTAGCATTGTAGACGGTGAACTCTACAAAAACTGCCCGCGTGTAAATGTCAAGCCAGGTGTTGTCAAACAGGTTCTGAAGGACCCTGGCCACAAAGGAACATGGGAAAGAACGACAGGAAAAAGAACTTTTTTTTTGAAAGTGTAGTTTCAAAATGCAATGACTAAATACATGCCACATTACTTTGAATTATGTTTCACCTTTCAAAATATTAAGCTGTAGAAGTAGGGAAAAGGCAGGGGAATTCTTCCTAATTATTAGCTTTAATCAAAATCAGGCATTTTTTGCTGCGCACTCACCCTCCTGCATTTCCCTGGTCCAACACCAGTTCAGCCACAAAGCCCCCCCCTCTGTAGAGCACCACATCACCCCATATGGGGCACCCCCTGAGCTGACCCTGACTCTGGTATGTCCAGGCGGTGCTGTTGATGGTGCCACTGGCACTGCTGTTCTGGCTCCAACCTGGTCCGTATTGGCCCATGTCTTCCACGTCCCAGGAGTACAGACCCTGGCAGTCTGGCACCAAGCTGCTAATGGAGGGGGAAACAGGACAGGAGTCTCTCTTCACCCGCACCTGACGGATACGACCATTACCGACCAGCTTGGAATTCCCGTCTGTGATGAAGCCTGCAAGAACATCAGCACGTCACCATGATTTTAATAACCTCATATTCAATTAATATTATATTAGCAGTTCCGATACAACCACTCCTCATTTGGTGACAGGTCACTAATACGACAGCAATAAAAAATGGAGCAACCAATGGGCACGTTTTATGACCAAATTTCAGAAGCCTCAGAGTAACACACGCCGGAATCAGACATGAACAATAGAATGAACAAAGAGTTAAAATGTCCACTTTATGAAGGATAGAAGCTCACCAGGGACGGATTATGGGTTGTGTGGGCCCCTGGGCAAAACGTTCGCGAGGGCCCCCCCCCCCCCACCAGCACCACCACCACCAGCACCACCACCACAACCACCACAATTCAAGGGCCCTTGGCAGCCAAATGCCCTCCCTCCATGTTTCCATCAGAGGCCCTATAGGGTCAGGGGCCCTTGTAGGCAGAGGATCAAAGAATGTAGGCCCTCTAAAATAGTCAAACGAAAATACATTGTTGATAAGCATTGCAAATTGTTTTGGGCTAGGGGCCCCATGGGCCCCCTGCACCCCAAGGGCCCCTGGGCAGCGGCCCCGCTGGCCCGGTCCATAATCCGTCCCTGGTGCTCACACCTCGGCTGCCGTGATTTTCATTCACGCGGCCGTTTCCCTTAACGACCTGTTCCTCGGAACAGAATTCGGTCACTAAAAATGAGGAGTGGTTGGATACTATTTTGCATTCTACTTTTCAGTAAGTCATTTATATAAATAAAAATCAATTTGTTTAAATGTGACATTCAGACAGCTATTCATGTGTGCAGAGTAGAAAAACTGTTACCTGGATATTGTCCAAAGAGGTTGCTGAGGAGGGTGGTGTTGGTCCACATAAACACTTCGTTAAGACTCATCATATCTGAGGTGCCATTGGTGAAACTCTGCTGAATGTGCTGGTTCAGGAAGTAAGCATTTGGGTCCCTCTGACCATATGCCACCAGCAGCAGCATCCACATGAACCCCAAATAGGCTACAACAATTGATAAAAAACGTAAATACAATCATTTGGGTGAAAAAAATGTATTTGTTTGGCCCATAAAGCTATTGGATAATGAGGACACTCAATATTGGTTTCAATGTTTTGAGCAGTTTGACTTTAAGATGATGACAGTTTTAGCTTTATTGCTTACCGAGAATCTCCATGATGAGCCCATAGGCTTTCTGCTCCTTTATCATATTATTCCTCATCCTCTCGATGTCAGTGGGTGGAGGAGGCTGATAGTAGCTACATGTGCTGTCTCTCCGTGTGCCCAGCACTACGTTGGGGTCTGTTAGGATGGAGAAGGTGTAGTAAGGGCTTTACTTGCCCTTAAACTCTCCTGAAACTTTCAATTTTAGCAATGTTTCCAGTTATCACTACAGGAATGGGTCCTGTAACTGGATTACCTGAGGTTACAAGTTCTTTTTCAAGGGTTGCATCTCCATATTCCTCCTGGTCAATTTTCTTCAGCACCAGAGCAAAGAAGATGGCAAAACCTAAGACCTGTCACAAGACATCCACGCAACGCTGATGAAAATTCCCTAGCAGGAGCTAATGCCGGAATTTACTACGGTGAAGCTATGGACTTCCAGCAGCAGCCCAGTGACCAGTTGGAGGGCAACTCTCGTCATCTTCGGGCCGGCTTACCTTGAGTGGCTGGGTGACGAAGACGCTCTCAAAGAAAGACACCACCATGGAGATCAGCCAGCTTATGGACTTCTGTTTCCCGTAGGTGAGCCCGTACATCATGGTGAAGTATGCTGCCACTCCACTAGTTGCCGCTACCAGGAACCAGCCCACAAACACAAACCACCAGGGCAGGCCTCCCTGGCAGCACTTCCTGTTGTTTTCCTGCTCTGGGGGGCTGGGGCTCTTTACGACATGGTTTTCAGCCGGGCTCATGCAGGAGAGCCGGCCCTCCAGCAGGCCCTTCATGTCCTGCACCTGCCGTACTGCCTGCCGGTAACTTCTTGGATTAGGGAAGCGTGAAGGGTCCAGGACCTCTAGCTCCTTCTCCACATGACGTAGCTGTCGGTACAAATACTCACTGTAGTCCCTCTGTCTCTGGGAAACACTGTTTGACCTTTCTGGGCTGCCACCAGGGCTGCTCTCTGCAGGTACATCAAAACACAAACACATTATTATGCAGGAAACCAACTTCAGATTGCAAATCTCTCTGTATGTTTATCTACTGCTTGTGTATACTTACATAGTGATTTCCAGATTAGTAATGTACTGATCCCATGTTCGTTTGTCATTAATCAATCATAATGTACTTCATGCAGGCACTGTTAGTTCATGATTTGTTCTTGAGTAGTAACTGAGTTATTAAGTTATTTGTGCCTCTTCAAGTGGTGTTACCTACATGTTTATCTCAGGCTGTGATATGGCTGTGCGACTTTGAAAATATTTTCCTATTTGTGAAACTACTGCTTGGCTACACCGCTCAAAATTTTACATTTTCATTTCATTCCCTACGCCATAAACATCCAAGAAAACGTCTCTGTAACACTGCAGTCACCCAAATCCCTCCATATTACAAAGCTATTAATTCATATTATCGTACATAGTTTTGTAATAAGTTTAAACATGTGCCGTTACAACATTGTTCTTGCAAGCTCGTCTAAACAAATCCATGAATTTAATCTTAATCTCCAATTACAATGACCTAACGTCAGGATGAGAGAGGCTTCGTTCTTGCAGCCTTCAGAATAGAAGTCGCCTCCTGCCCGGTTCTGCTGCTGGATGATCTCCTCCACTAGTGACAGCAGAGTATTGATGTCAGCTGTCTTTTCAGCACCCTCCTCGAGCTGAGGAACCGTGCTCCTCCTGGTCTTAGAGAGAGACTGGGCAATCCTCTTGATATCCTGGGGGGGGGATTTCACATATTCTGAAGGCTTATGAAGAACTTGTAATACAGGACAGACAGGTCGGGAATATTGACATGAATGAGAGAGGCCCCCTTAGGCATAATAGTTGGATTTTGTTCAAAGTGAGGGCCATGGAGAATAGAGTATGAAAGGTATTTTTGTACAGCTATGTAGGGGATTAAGGAAGAGTATTCATATAAAGAAGGTTACCTTGACAACAGAATTGGGAGTGATTTCCTTGTGGATGTTCCCTGGGGACGGCGGCTGGGTCGGAGACACGCGGCCGGTCTTCCCCTGCTTGTTAGGATCTGCCTTGGCTTGACTGTTAGCCTGCAGTACCTTCTTTTCTCTTGGACGGGTGTTTCTAAAGATGCTCACAATTAGGAGGTTGATGGGGAACATGATGATGGAGCTCTGGACACCTATCATGACCTGCTGCCAGGTGATCTCGATCTGACCTGGGTATGGGCAAATGGTGCATTGCTCTCTCACGTGGAATTCGTCATAAAGTATCGTCATAAAAAACTGCGGCCTATGTCTAATCATGGGAAGACCTGGGACAATTGTTGAATGGGGTCAGAGGTTGAACTGATTTTTAACACGCAACTAATCCCAGCTATACATTCCTCCACTTCTGCTAGCTTAAGGCTCCTAACAACAACCATGATGCTTATGAACCATGTCATGCTGTAATTACACAGATTAATGACTAAATAGATACCAGATTTGATTTAACAATTTGTCCCTGGTCTCCCATAGTCGACAACAAGATGCCATACCCAAGTCCATTTTCTGCTCAGATGGGTTCGTTGGAATGCCCCAGAACATGATGTTAGTCAGCATGGTGCAGAGCAGCAGTGAGAAGCAGCAGGAGACCCGTTGCACCCGTGTGAAATTACTGGCTGGGGGCCGGTTGATCACAGAGAACCAGATATGCCCGTCGCCAAAATCTTTTGCTGTCTTCGTGAAGAACAAGTTACTGCCAAAACACATAGAGATAAAGGTCACGCTAAGGAAGGAAAAGGGCAGCAGCAACACATTTACTCTTTAATGAAATCCCGATTCAAGCTGTATCAGGCAAAAGGTTTATACCAGAGGGGGAAAGTCCAGATCCAGAAAGTATAAATCCAGGGCAAGATCTTGTTCCTACCAACCAGGTGAGTACTCTGTGAATGGGACTCTTCATACTCAGCTGGTTGGTTGGAACAAAATCATTGTCTGGATTTGTACTTTCTGGACCTGAACTTTCCACTTCTAGTTTCTACTGAAAAAATGTATGAACAATTGCATAAATAACATGCATTTTAACCATCCCATTTTCTGGGCTTAGCTGAACTAAAAAGCGTTTGAATTTTGGATTCACTAATTATAAAAAAGATCTAGGGCTATCAGTAGAAAGGTCATCTAATACGGACGGTACATTTCATTTTAAAGAGCTAAAGGTTTTAATGGAGGAACCTTTGCCTAAACAGATAAATTACTCTACTTCTCATATAATCTCTTGACACAACCAAGGTCAGCCAGCATCCCAGTTGGGATAAAGGGTCTCACTCACTGGTAAGATGCTATGAGAGTTGAACCCACAATCAACTGGATGCTGGCACTGACCTCTAGAATGCTGATTTACGCACCATCCCAAAGACGCTCCCGGTTAGACTCACCTAAACCGCGTAAGATCCAGCTCTGTGGCGACAGGGAAGACTTTGTCCAGAGCACATTCACCCATGTTTATCGCCAGCCACGAGTTACACAAGAAATGCCATTTCTGACCTGTCTCCAGGTCCTGGACCATCACTTTATTGATGTACCTGTTGGTTATGGGATTAACAAATGAACAAAGGTGTATTGTGACAGAGCTTTTTGTACTGCATATATCTTGAAAACTAAAGTTTGTTTATAGACAGGACGTATGTACTCACCAAGCAGCGTGGCTCCCTGAGTTGTCATGCCAGAGTCTGACGTTCTGCAGCTCCCCCAGGGAGAATGGAGTGGTGAGCAGAAACATGTCCACCCCCCCTCTCTCAAACAGCGGTTTGTCAGGGTCACTCAGGTGATGAGGGTGACTCTCGCCATCTGAGCCCAGCAGAATCACCGTCACCTCGGAAGACAAGTCAGACAATTAGTAAATTGTTTATTAGCATTGTTTGTTTGTTTGTTTACCCAAATGTATTTCCAGTTGAAAACAAAAGGAACAAACTTGACAAACTTGACAAAAATCTACTTTTATTTTCATTTAGTAGACCCTGTTGTCCACAGGGACAAAAGTGAGGCAAATAGCACCTTACATGCAAATGTGCTGTCAAGGAGTCGACAAAGCTTAAGTGCGGTTAGGCTGAGCTTCTCATGAATACTACACAACATCTACCAGACAAAGCAAGAACATAATAATACTATTCAGTGACCAGAAGTGCAGCATTAAGAACAGCCAGGGAACACAGAGGAATCGGGATCTTAAGATGTTTCTTGAAGGTGGAGAGAGAATCTGATGAGCGGAGAACCACACATGAGAAACCCTTCTTATGCATAAAACATGATGGTCAAGGTCAAGATACTGGTGTGATATTAACAATAAAATCACTTTGCCATCATGGTTACAAATATAACAGTAGGAAGTTGACTTCTATAGTGGCTTTATTTGGCAGCTATGCTAAGCAGGAGGTCTAACCTGGGAGGAAGTGGAGGCCCCGCGTCTGTGCCCAGTGCTGATGGTCAGCATGTAGCGGTAGTGGGCGAGAGGGTCATTGTCCGCCAGAACTGTAACCTTAACCTGAGGTGACAACAAAGCAGCTAGAGGAAGCTCACACTCATGCCACAACACAGGCCAATATAATCAGCTTACAAAAAAACTAAAAGAAACAATGTATCCTTCACTACTACCCAAGTAATCGTTTGATAATACACAATAAGAATAGGCAGTGTAGCTGTGTGCCAGCTCATA